CCCAGAGAGGGCAGGGAGGGTCACGAGGTTAGTGGGCTCCAAACCTCAGGAAGCCCATCACTGGTGTCCCTTAGGATGACTCCCAGGACTGGATCTTTGGGACCAGGATAAGTCCACCCTGTCAGGGTCACAGGAATCACAATGATAGGGCATGCAAGCCCTTTAACACGAAGGGCTACTTAGCCCCGGGGTGGGGTGGAGGGCCTCATGTTCTCAGGAGCTGGGGGATTCCTGGAGGGGCCTGAGCTAATGAAAACTGCTGGCTGGAATGCACCCCGGTGATTCAATGGAATGGGTCTCACCTTGGGAGGCCTCCAGCCCCACCTAGAGTCCCTGCCCCACTGAAGATTTGTGCCGTCTTTCTGCAGGACACAGACGGTTCGGGGAAAACCTCCTTTAGTGTCTTTGCGTTTTCACAGTTTTGTTGTTACAATGAAGCAGACATATTAAAATCGTTTTTTACAAATTAAATGGTGCTGGCACATCTGTAAGGGCAGGGTGGAGACCTCAGCATCTGTGGCTGCTGCACTGGTGGATGCTGGCTGGTCTCAGCTGAGGGGCTTTCTGAGACCTCCGTGTTCTTGATGAGAACAACACTGCCCAAGTGCACTTCAAGGGGTGAGCCCATATTGCCAAAAGGCTGGGAGAATCAGGAGTTTTTGTCCAGCCCCCTCCTCTCAATTGAAAAGAACTGTAAAGGACCCTCTTAAGCAGGTCGGTGTTTGTCTCTCCAGGGTGGCCCAGCATCTCCTTCTTCAGCTCCTGTCTCCTCCCACCCTCAGACATGTCCACCCTGATGGAACTCCCCGATGCTTCCTGCTTTCTGGTATCCTTCTCAGAGGCTCCTTCCAGGGAAATGGGCCTCAGGGAGAGCAGACTCTGAAATGCAAGTTTGCAACCTGTTCCCTCATCTGCTGGCTGGCATGGAGGACCCCAGGGCTGGTGGTGAGTGGAGCCCAGGCCAGCCCTGGACTGTGATGATTAGGGTTAGAGAACTGGGATGGGGTAACCACAGAAGGGAATCCCTCAACATCAGGCATTTGAAAACAAATTGGGAAATGGTAATTATAAGGACTATGGAATTGGAGGGCTGTCACTGGGCACCAATCCTTTGGAGAGAGACAATGAGAAGCTGAGGGTTTGAAGCTTGAGGGCTTCTTGGCGGCAGGGGAGGTTCTCATGCTCTGATAGAGGACGGGGTCCTGGACATCATCATTGGGGAGCACTGCTTCAAAGAAGGTTGTAGTCTGGACTTCTGGGCTGCTGTGCCAAGGTGAGGCCCTGATGGGGAAGCTGTAGGACCTTCATGTGGGAGCAGGCATTTGGGGTGGAACATGCAAAGATCTTCAGTCAACTGCTGGGTTCTGAGGGCAATGGTAGCCACAGAGCTCCTTATCTCCAAAAATCCCTTCCCCAAACAAGAAGGAAAATAAAGGAAAACTAAAGTCTGTAAAAGAAACAGGTATTTGGTCACAAGAGGATGATCACCAAAGCCTGGTGCGTGACCTTTCCCTGGGCCGCCATCCTGTCATCACCCAGCCACAAGAAAAAGTGCAGGATCCTGAGCAGGGTTATTTAGAAACAGCTTCAGCAGTGTCAGATCCACACCACCGCTGAGAATGCTGAAAGCGTGCCCTGCAGATGGGAGCACACACCCTGGCAAGGGATTATAAAGTGTGCCTGATTTAAAGGGTCGCACAGAAGCCCTGAAACCTGTGACTATGGCACCTCCCATGGCAAAGGGGACATTGAGAATGTGACGAAGTGCAGGATCTTGGGAAGGGACGTCAGCCTGGATTATCCTGGACATGGGATGTAATCACAAGGGTCCTTAGAAGGGAAAGAGGGAGGTAGAGTAATTCAGAGAATATGTGTGGAAAAAGACAGAGGTCAGAGTGAAGTGGGACCATTCAGCAAGGGACGCCAGAAGGTTCTTGTAGTTGGAAAAAGGCACGGAAGTGGATTGTCCTCTGGATCCTCAGGCAGGAATGCAGCCCTGCTGACATTTTAGACTTCTGACCTCCCTGACTATAAGGTAAGAAATGGTCACTGCCTTAACCTGGTCAATTATTGGCAATCTGTTACAGCATGGATAGAAACCCAGGAGGCAGGAATCATTTTAAAGGACAGATGTGATTAAAAGGACAGGCATGACTTAAAGCGCATGACTTGGGTGTGGGGGGGAACAGCACAAAGGAAGCGGTTCTCTTCAGCCATGGAGTTGTAGGGGAAGAATCAAAAGTGGGGGACAGAAGAAAATTTGGTCAAAATACAAAACAGAGTCATAGAATTAGAGACTCCAGAACTTTTCCTGCTATGCAAACAAGCTAACAAACCCCAAATGCCATAACACACCTGGATCATGCCATCCTGAGAGGCCTATTAAGCTGGAAATGCTGTATAATACCCTAATCCCAGGGTCAAACCGAGTATGTTACTATAGACCCTGAAGACATCAAAAGAATGATAAGGGTAAAGTGACCAGACGTCCCGCTTTTGGCGGGACAGTGCTGATTTTTAACAATTTGTCTAGCATCCTGTGGCGTTTTAAAAAGGTCCCGATTTTTGGAAAGAATGCAGGACAAGCTAGGGAACTGGAGGGAGAACAGGAAGGTTTTCGGCTGCTGAAAAGGTTAATGTAACTCCATTTGGGAATGAAGAGGTTAATGTAACTTCATTTGGAAATGAAAAGGCTAATGTAAACTCCCTACTCCCCTCCTGGGCAAGGTCCCCCAGGTGGGCTGGCGCCCTACTCCTTTGAACCACAGGCACTACCCTATACATAACTTTTTTTTTTTAATGTATTATATTTGTAAATTGTACTTATGTTGAAATAAAAAAAAATTACAATACTATTTTTGCGTTCTATGAAAATTTTTCTTGCTCCATATAGACCAAATTTTAAATCAAGAACACACCCCTCCCCCGCCCCCACACTCCCCCCATCAATGGTGTCCCACTTTACCATTGTTAAAATCTGGTCACCTTAGATAAGGGGGTGTTATCATGATGAACCTTACACACAGAATTGTGACTACTTAGTTAAAATGGACCAAAAATTCTTCAAAAACCACTACCTGCCACAATTCACCCAACATAAAGTGAGTAAAATTCAGAATTTCAACACATCCAAAAATGATCTCAATGTCCAGAGGATTTTTTTTTAAAGACAGATTCTCACTTATGTCACCCTCAGGAGAGAGTACCCTGGCATCACAGCTCACAGCAACCTCCAACTCTTGAGCTCAAGTGATTGTTTTGCCTCAGCCTCCAAAGTAGCTAGGACTACAGGCACCCGCCACAGTGCCCGGCTACTTTTCTGTTCCAGTTATCATTGTTGCTTAGCTAGCCCGGGTTAGGTTTGAACCTGCCAGCCTCGGTGCATGTGGCTAGGGCCGGAACTACTGTGCTATGGGCATGGAGCCTCAGTGTCTAGAGGTTTTATAGGAAAATTCTGCCAAGAACTTAAAGATGAATTAAAATCAACTTTTGTGCACAGAAAGAGTTGTAAAAGAAATCTAGGATTCTTCTCTAAGAAATTCTCTAAGAAATTTCTCTAAGAAATTCTAGGATTCTAGAAATCTAGGATTCTAAGAATCCTATGTATTCCATTCCTGTGGCTGGAGAAGTAAGAATCCTATGTATTCAACTTTGATATGAAGACAATTAATGACAATAAATGACATGGTGGGGAATGGGGGAAGAGGAGATCAGACTGAGAAGGAACAAGGAGGTGTGGGCAAAAAATATATATATATATATACACATATATAAATAATAATGTCTAATTCTCACACAAACTGGATTTAATTTTGATCAATGTATATTACTTGAACATCAATTTTACATCCAACATGTCAATATGTTGTTTATCATATTGCATCCTTATTCATCAGTGAAATATGTCTGTAATTTCCCCTTTATAATAATATATTTTTTCTAATTTTGCTATCAGGGGTATCCAGACTAAGTAGAATGATTTTGAAGTATTTCTATTTCTATGGTCTATAAGACTTGGCGTGATCTGCTTTTTGGGGTTTTTTTTAAGAAATTATCTTTTACTTCTATTTTTATATATTAGTCATTTTTTTTAAACTTTGGTAAAAACATAACAAGGAAAAAAATTTGTTTGCTATTTGTATTTTGTCTTGTGTATTCTATAACAAACAAGTAGTAAATGATTATGTATTCAAAAAAAAAAGAAAGAAAATAGTGACTAATTCTCATATAAATTGTATTTAATTTTGACCAAAGTATATTACCTAAACATTAATTTTTAATTCAACATGTTAATATGTTGTTTATCATATTGCATCCTAATTTATAAGTGAAATATGTTTGTAATTTCCCTTTTATAATAATACATTTTCTCCAATTTTAATATCAGGTGTATCCAGATTAAGTAGAATGATTTTGAAGTATTTCTTTTTCTATTGTCTATAAGATTTGGCATGATCTGTTTTTTTGAAATTATCTTTTACTTTTATTTATAAATATTAGTTGTCTACTTTTTTTTGAGACTTTGGAAAAAACAAAATAAGAAGAAGTTAATTGATCAAAGTATTCTATAGTAGACATACTTCTATCTGACAATGTGAATGTTACTTTCTTTGCATTATTACTATTATTATTGCTTAATAATTCATTGCAGCAATCGTCTGATTTCTTTTCTGAATGTATTTATCTTTCATTCTTTATGAGGTTTTTGTTCTTAGTCCTTATGTTAAATATTATTATTGTCATTAAATTTAGCCTTTTAATTCTGAAAAAAAAAGAGCTAAAGCCTGCATTAATAAATCTCTTGGGAACAAAAAAAAAAGAAAGAAATCTAGGAAAACTTGTGTACTCCATTTTAAATAATACACGTGTATGAACAAATTATTTTAATAATTTTAGCAAATAGAGTTAAAAAGTTGAAATATTATTAACTTGATAATATTTGTTTTGTAAAAGAAGTCTTTAATCATATGCCCATCAATTATAGAATCTGCCTGCACCTGCGTGTGCAAACATGATGAGTTATCAGTGGACGTGACTGTGCACCTGCCATACACCTGTTATTTTGTGGGAAATTGTCCTCTACTTCCTATCTTTCCTCTTCCAGCAGGCAGAGGCATGGACCAAATGTGACCCAGCATTGACTGAGCAGACGAGGCCAACACTATAGCATATTTTAGAAGGAGACTGGGCCTTTGAGAAGGCTTCTGGAGTGGAGTCCTCTCCTAGTGTCACATGAGGAGGAAATAAGATGTATTTTGGTCATAGATCGCCATAGACAGGAGGTGTTCTGACCACTTCAGATCCTGAGGATAATGCCCAGGTGAAGGAGATCATTTCTGCCATTAGCACCAATTTGCTCATGCTATTTTAGGCACACATGGTGTCTTTATCCTTAGGAACTCAGATTTACCTTTATTAGTTTAGACCAGAGATTTTCAACCAGTGTGCCATGAGAAGATCTTAGGCATGCAGGAAAAATTTTTAAGGATCACTAATTATGTCTGAAAGAAGTTCAAAGCACAGTAAGTATATTCACTCTCTTTTTTTTACACTTTTTTTGATGAACATAATTTAAATGTGAGGTTTACCTATAGGTTCAAGTGTGCTTTGAGATCAAAAAGGTTGAAAACACCTTTGTGGGTGTTTTTGGGTGTTTTGGTTTAGACCAATCACCTGGCCTAATGACAGGAGGTCTTCAACAACACCCCCCCTTCCTCCCCGGGTCCTGGTCATTTCTGCAGAACTCCAAAATCATTAGGGAGCTGAAGCAGGAAAGGGGATCACAGATGAACAGGAACTCGTATGTAGTGAACGTGCAGAGAGGGCTTGTGATTAGTGCTGGTCCCTGATCTCAGAGCAGCACACAGAGGGGCTGCTGCTGTGACTGGGATTAGCCATGCTCACTGGGCCATCTTAAACCCCCTTCCCTTTTGGAATTTCACACAGTAGATGCTGGAGTCTGGTGGGAGGTTGCAGATATGGATGGAAAAGTGAAGGAAGGGTCCGTGACCAGGTAGAGCCAGAGTAGGGAGGAGGGTGGGCTGAGAAAGAACCACAGGGACCTTACAAGTGTCAGGTGGAGAAGGCAAGAGGCAGCACACGGTGACCTGGTGGTTCCCTCCCTTCTTTCCTTTGTTTCTCTTGTAACATACATGGATGCCAAAAGGTCTGCCAAAGGGTACGTCAGACTCTGAACAGTGCTGACTCTTGGAGTGTGGGATTTGAAGGGATGAATTGACTTTAAGATTCTGCTTTCTATTTATAGACTTCTAGATTATTTTATCACAAGTGTGAATACTCCATTTAACATGAAAAAAAGATAAAATTTAAAAGTCTGTAGTCAACTCACCAGGGGTGGTGACTGAATCCTGATCCTTCGGGTGGCCAGGGAGCTTCAGGGTATGGCTTCTGGTGACTAGAGGCTGCCCATCATGCTCCACCTGGCAGGTGAGCACCATGCTGTCCCTGAGGGCAGAGGAGGTCACTAGGAGCCAGCTGGTCCAGCTGTATGTCCCATCCATGTTCTTCCTGGGGGTCAAGGCTATTTCGGTTCGGAACACATTTCCATTCTCCAGCCAGGTCAGCTGTAGTTTCCCAGGGTAGAACCTCTCCACTTGGCAGGTGACGTTTACCTGGTTCCCCGCCATCATAGGCTGCTGGGTAACCTTCAAGGTAGGTGGAACTGAAATAGCACAGGGCAGAAGCTTTGATATGGCACAGGCACGTCACAGAGGATAAGCTAGATAACTTAGCTCCCCCACCAGGGCAAGGGCATTACCCAGGACAGTGCTGGGTATGCAGTAGGTACTGAAACATAGAGGGCTCTCTTTGCCTGTGAGTGAAAGTGCTATGTTCAAGCTGAGCACACAGTAGGTGTTCAAAACCTGGTAGCACCTATTAGGATATTAATGAGTGAAATCAACAAGCATCACCCCACCCCTGGAGCAGCTGGAATGTAATAACTGCAGCAAAACAGGTGAAACTGCCAAGCACGTGGGGCGTGGCTCCCAGCAGGTGCTCAGTTAACTGCAGATGCTATTGGAGAAATCAACAAATCTACCAGGCACAGTGCTTGGCACATGGTGGTTGTTCACCTGGCAGGTGCCAGAGGAATGAGAGTGGCACATTGGGGTACACAGTAGGTGAGCAGGACAGTTAGGAATTATATTCCAGGCAGTTTAAGCCCTGGAACAAAAGTCACTGGTCCCTAGAAGCCATGTCCTGGAGGTCTCCTGCATCAGAAGGAGCTGGGCTCAGACACCATCCCTGGTGCAGTTATGACAAAGTTTTAAACTTTGCCTTTTAAAAAATGTTGACACTGGATGCCCATATCGCAGTGGTTAGGGCATAGGCCACATACTCTAGGGCTGGTGGGTTCGAGCCCAGCCTGAGCCTGGTAAACAAACAAACAAAAAAATTAGCCAGGAGTTGTGGCCGGCCCCTGTAGTTGGAGCTACTAGGGAGGCTGAGATAAGAGAATCACTTGAGCCCAAGCGTTTACGTTTGCTTTGAGCTAAGACACCACAGGGCTCTATCAGGGGTGAGAAAGGGAGACTCTGTCTCAATAAAAAATTGTTGAAAGTAGTACCCATGCTTGTTATAAAATAATCTAGAAGTCTATAAATATAAATCACAATTTTAATGTCAGCTCATCCTCCCAAATCCCCCTGGCTGCAGGTTTAATGCAAAGGCTGGGCTTGGGCTGGGTGTGGGTTCCTGTACCTCGGATGGTGTCAGACAAGTTGGCAGTCCCACGGAGAGGGATCCCCTGCAAGGTGACATGGGTCACCTCACAGATGACCTGAGAGTGGACATCTCCGGGGTCCAGCGCCACCCTGGCAGTGCTGTGTACACTGTAGGAGGCCTTTTCTTCTGCGGGGTCCACGGTGGTCTGGATGTTTGAGAGCTCATTCCCATTTTTGAACCACTTCAGGGTGATGTCTCGGGGGGAGAAGCCATGGGACTTGCAGGTGAAGGTGACCGTCTGCTTAGCTGTGACCCTTGCAGCAGGACCCAATACCACGGGGACAGAGGGTTTGGCTAAAAAGGAGTGTTAATAAAAGAAGATGTGATCACAACAACCCTCAGAAGTGACAGGCACATGACACCATCAAGGACCTTCACAGACCTTATTGTTTAGTCCTCTGATAATGTTAGGGGGGTGGTGTCCTTATTGTCAGAGCATGTGTTGTGATTCAGTCCCTGTGTAGACATGGGCACATGTAAGAGGGGAAGGTCCCCAGCACAGAGGCTGAATCTAAGCAGACATTTGTCCAGACCGTCCTCCTCAGGCCCTGAGGTCTGCTCCAGGGGAAGGGCCTGGCCAGGCCACTGTGGCCTCCACAGAGCGTCCCCAGCACAGGCTACTCTGAAGTCCCCACACCCAGAGCTGTGCTCTCACCCGACACTGGAGAGGGCCACCTTTTCTGGGGTGGTCTTAACTTGGCCTCTGCAAGCTAGAGGCCTCTCTCTGCCATGGCTGTGTGTTAGAATCTTTGGAGTCGTTAAAAACTTCTGGTGCCCAGGCCCCTGGCATACCAATTAAATTGGTATTTGTAGATCAGGTGGGTCTGGGGACTTATTGTTCCATGTTTCCCAGGTAGCTCTACAGAGCAGTGGTAGGTGAAGCCCCCCACCCTGACCCTCCTATAGCCTGGTCCCATTTGCACTGAGGCCTGGAAGATAAGGCCCCCATCCTGGCTCACGGCCCTGGGTGCCCATCCTCTGAGAACTTGTAGATTTGACTACTTCAGTCCCTGTCCCTCTCTGTGAGACCAGTGTTGTTACTCACAGGTGAGGACATGAGGCCCACTGTGGTGCAGAGGCTTATTTGAGGCCATAGGCCAGGAGGTGGCAGAGCTGGAGTTCGGCCTAGGCAGTCAGGCTCTGTCTCCTGCTCTCCTGTGGCATTACAGATGCTCATACTAACCCTGACACCACTATCCTGGGCTCTGTACATGTCCCCTCCATTCCTCACAGCCCCTGAAGGATGGCCATGACCATTATCACCTCACAGAAGGAGAAACTGAGGACTCAAGGGAAGCCAAGACCTGCCCCAGATCACACAACCTTCATGACAACCCCATCACTTCCTGAGGTCTCTTCTCTCCCGGGCTCACTGTGTCCCCCTAACATCCCAGAGGGTTTGGTGCAATTGTCCACCATCTACATATGGGGGAAACTGAGACTCAGCAAAGTGATCTGGGTTGCCCAAGATCACACTCTCCTGAAATAACTACAATGTGCTAGGTGATTTACAGAAAGGCCCTCAAATCCCTCCCACTTTCTTAAAGGAGTCCATGGTTGTCACCATTTCACAGATGAGAAAAACGGAGGCTAAGAGAAATGACCACATTGTCTCCTTATCCCCCATGTCTCCTAGTGGGGATTTCCTGTGTCCCCCTAAGCTTTCATGTCTGTAAACAGAGCAAGTGCCCGACACTGACACCCCATTCCCTTCTCCCTCTGAGATCCCTGACTTGAAGCACCTTAAGGCCTGGTTACCCGACAGCCAGACAGGGAAGATGGGGCCCCTGACAGCTGAGGGGAGACTGCAAACTATCACTCACATGGACCCCTCATCCCCTCGTCCTTAGTGCCCGTGAGTGGGGTGTGTGTGGGGTGGGGGTTCCGAGCCAGCTCCTTGGTGCTGCTCTGGGAAGGAGCCACAGTGCTTACCCTGCCCTAAGGGGCAGCTCCCATGTGTCACGTGGTATCTGCAGACCTTTCTCACTGTCAGTGTAAAGCAGCCCTGCCTGTCTTCACAGGACTGTTTCTGATTCCTCTGGTTTGGTGCTTATTACTGTAGAACTGACAGCACAGGAGCTTAGAAAGAGGAGGGTGGAGCACGTGTCCCCACTGTGACCAGCATGGCTGGGTGCTACAGGGACAGGGGCTGTGCGTCAGGATGTGGGGTTGAAACCTTGGCCCCTTCCCAGCTCTCAGGTCAGGTCCCCTCTCTGAGCCTCAGTGTCCCCATCTGTAAGGGGGCAGCACAGGGCACCTCCCTGACAGCACTGGTTACAGGAGAAAGTGGCACGATAAGGAGGTAGCACCACTGCTGCCCCTGCTCTGCCCTCCTCCCTCCTGTCCCACCAGGGCATCATTTAGGCCAAGGGCAAGGCCAAGGGGAGTGAGACTCTGCCAGGAGCCAGCAGACCCGAGTCATGCCTGAGCTACTTCTTGGCTGGGATGGCCTGGGCATGGATGTGCCATTTGGGGACTTTAATGTTTCTGACTGTAAAATCTGCAAGGTCAGGAGAAAGCCACCTTTCCTGCCTATGTCCAGGGGTTTGTGGGGAACCTGAATGCCATATCATCTAGGATAAAATATTTGCAATAGCCACATAAATTAAAACACTCATGCCCTCTGCCTGGTAATGCCATTTCCAGCGAGCATCTCCCACCTGTGCACTGCAGGCTGGTGCCTGTAGCAGCCCATCCATGCAGAATGGCCTTAGTAGACCAAAGACGGAGACAATGTGAATGTCCATTTACAGAAGACTGTAAGTAAGTGGTGTTACTTCCATACGATGGAGTATTCTGTAGCTGTTAGACAATGGGGCCACTTTCTATGTCCTGATTTAGAACCTCAATATTAAGTGATATGACTGAATATTGGGTGTGGTTCTCATCACCAGTAGGCCCCAGGGTGTGCTTGGGGAGAGGATTCTGAACCTTTGGGACTCTGATGAGAAGGAGAAGTGGCAGGTCCCTGCTCAGTGGTTCTGCTCCAGAGGTTCTATCCAACACCTATGATGCACCGGTTCCTCCATGGAGAGTGACAGATGCGGGGCCAGGGAGGAGCTGCCTGCAATCAGATCTGGGCTCTGGTCCCACTCCTGTCACTATGTAGCCATGTGACTATGTGCAAGGCCCATGCCATCTCTTGGCCTCAGGTTCCCCATTTGTACAAGGGTTTGTTTTAGTGGACTGAAGGTCCTTCCTGTGCTGATATCCAAGATTCAGAGGACAGAAAAAGGATTCTGGGCTTTGGGAAGGAATCTCAAAATGAGCATCTTTGCTACTTCCCCTGGGGGACCACTAAGTCACCCTCATAGGGGACCTCTTCTCTGGAGTGAGTGACATTCAGAGATGATCCAGCTCTGCTCAGAGTTTTCTGTGACTGTGCGAATAAGTTTCTGAATCACATAAGAGTTTCCTGAGTAAAACCCCAGCAAACATCAAATTTCTTGGTATCTCCTCCAACCAGGGTCATCAGGCTTTTCTTTGTTTTTTTCTTTTATGAGACAGAGACTCACTCTGTCACCCTGGGTAGAGGGCTATGCGTCATAGCACACAGCAACCTCAAACTCTTGGGCTCAAGAGATCATCTCGCCTCAGCCTCTTAAGTAGCTGGGACTACAGGTGTCTGCTACAACACTTGGCTAGTTTTTCTATTTTTAGTAGAGAGGGGGTCTCGCTCTTGCTCAGACTGGTCTCAAACTCCAAGCTCAAGCAATCCACCCTGCTCATCTTCCCAGAGTGCTAGAATTACAGCTGTCAGCCACTGTGCCCAGCAAGGGCCATCAGATTAAACAGGGAATCTGTGCCTCTTAAGAATCTTCCCAGAGTGACATTTCTGAAGACAAAAATGCTCCCTCCCTGGCTGCACCCCCACTCTGCCACCTCCTGGCCTGTGGCCTCCCTGGTCCCTGCCTTCTAGGGATTTGTCATCCTTGGATGGGAGAAGAACTTGAGCTTCCTGTGGGCAGAGCACTGCCTGTGTGTTCCCTGCTGTTTCCATACCACCCAGGTGGAGGTGGCACACAGTAGGTTCTCAGTGGGCATCTGTTGCATGAAAGGGACACCCTGAGGGGAAAGTGCTCTCTGGGGCAGCAGGTGAGGTCTGGCCTGAGCCTCAGATGCCACACAATCTGTCACTTCCCTGTTCCCCAAGACCAAAGGGCTGGGCCAGTCTGGGAAAAGCAAGGGTTGGGGAGCCAGGCAGACAGGGGGTATAGACTTTCCTGCCATTTACTAGCTGTGGAGTCTTGAGCAATGAGCAGGACATCTACAGGCCTCAACTTCCCCCATCTGTACAGGGGGTGACATCAGATCATGAAAATGAGAACCCTCCATTCTGATTGTCGCTCAGATAGGAGGGCATTATTCTTGACTCATTCCTAATTTTATTTCTCTATTTATTCATTTATCTGTCACCCTGGTATAGTGCTATGGCATCACCACAGCTCACAGCAACCTCAAACTCTTGGGCTCAAGTGACCCTCCTGCCTCAGCCTCAGGAGTACCTGGAACTACAGATGCTCACCACAATGCCAGGCTAGTTTTTCTATTTTTAGTAGAGATGAGGTCTGGCTCTTGCTCAGGCTGGTCTCCAACTTCTGAGCTGGGGATCTTGCCACCTCAGACTCCTAGAGTGCTAGGATCACAGGCATGAGCTACTGCTCCCTGCCACAGCTGACTCTCTTTCACACTCTAGGGGACAGAGGAGGCCCCCACTGTACTCACCACTCACAGACACTTCAGTGCCTGGTCCAGACTTAAGCTCCACGTTTTCAGGAGTTGCTCTCTGGAACTTCACACAGTAGTAGGTGCCAGCGTCTGCTGGGGTGATGTTACTGATGCGGATGGAAAAGTCCAAGTTGTCTCTCTTTGTGTGATCTGTGATACTTGTTACCCGGGGGGAGTGGACTTTTGGACTGTAGATCAATTCTCGGTCTCGCCCAGTTCCCTTGAACCAACTGATGGGCCCCACGGGGACCAGGGCGGTGACAGTGCAGCGCAGAGTGGCTCTCTCTCCAGCGGTGACTGACACTGACCTGTCAGGCTGAATCACCTGCAGCTCCTCTCCTCCCACCCCTGGAGGGGAACACAGAGCAGTCGTTTATTTATCTATGTGACCCTGCACGTGTTCTCAAGTGTCATTAACATCATTTGCTTTCTGCGTGCACACCCTGAGCAGGCCTTGAGCTCAGTACACAGCAAGGACTATCTCAGTTAACCCTCACACAAATCCTGTGACATGAGAGGTTGTTACAGTGTCCTCCTTTGAAATGAGAGGTTATGCTTCATGGTAGAGAGTGGGTTTGAGCACCTAGGGAGCTCCTCAGCCCTCTCCCTCTTTGGAGATGTGACAGTTCACCCAATATTTGTGCTTTTCCATTTTCTAACCATGTGGAATTTAGAACTTTCTGGACCTCTGAATTGGCCATGAGATTCCTTTGCCCAGGGGTATCCAACCGTTTGGCTTCTCTGTGTAACACTGGAAGAAAAGGAGTTATCTTAGGCCACACATTAAATACACAAACACTACTGAAAGCTGACGATTAGAAAAAAAATCCATGCATAATTTTCATGGTATTTGCCACCGCAGATAAGCAAAAAGTCCTCACATAATCCACATGCAGTCTGCCGGCCATAGGTTGGATACCCCTGCATGTTGTGAGCAGATGTGATAGGTTTAGTCTGTGAGCTATGCCTGTAACTGTAAGACCCTCTATGGATCAACTTCTTCCTTCCGCAGAGACCCACAAAGCCTTGACAAGCTTGATTGCCAAGAGAGAATGCAGACCGCCCAACACACAATGGATATGTGGCTTCCATAAGGACTACAACATTGTATTAAACCCCTGGAATTTTGTCTGCATAGAATAATCATGTTATATTAGTGGTCCTAAAGCTACTGTGACAAATTGTAACAAATCTAATGGCTTACAACAAGAGACACTTATTAAAAAGCGTAGAAAAAATAAAATACACAGCAGTAGAGAATAAAACTGGTTACCTGAAGTGGGTTGGGAAAGAAGATAGAGACATGTAAGTCCAAAGATAACAAAGTTGCAAATAGGTAGGATGAAGAAGTCCAGAAAGTTCTATGTACAACATAAGGCCTATAGTTAATAATAATAATATGGTACCGTACTCACTATTTTTGCTAATAGATTAGATTTTAAGTGTTTTTGACATGCACACACAAAAGGGTAATTCTAGGAGTTACTGAATATGCTCCTTTGCTTGTTTATAGTAATCATCTCACTATATATATATATACATATATATATAAGAACAAGGACTTAAAGGAAATTAGGAAAAAGAAGTACTATCAAAATGAGAACATCAGCAAAGAAGTAAAAATTGTACAGAAGAACCGACCGGAAATTTAGGAACCGAAGAACAGAATAATGTAAAATTCCTTAGTTGAGTTCCATAACCGATTTGAGTAGCAGAAGAAAGAATCAGGAAACTTGAAGATGGACCAGTTAAAATGATTGATTCAGCTGTGTAGAAAGAGAAAAAACAATAGAGAAAAGAGATGGAATCTGGACTTGTGGGACGTCTGCAAGTTGATAAACGTGCATCTTATGAGAACAGCACAAGAAGAAGAGAGGCAGAGAGAAAGAAGCAGAAGATGATTTGAAGAAATAATATCCCAAATCTTTCCACAGCTGATAAAATACGTGAATCTATGAAGCTGAGAGGCTGAACAAACCCTAAGTAAAATTTACTCAAAGAAACCCACATGAGACACATAATATTCCAACTATTGAAGCTCAAATGAAAGAGAGAATCTTGAAAGCAGCAAGAGAGAAGGGAATCCTCATGTGAAACAGTTCCTAAGATTATCAGTTGAGTTCTTATCAGAAGCACTGCAGGCCGGAAGGTAGGGATGACATATTTAATGTCCTAAAAGAAAACAAGACTGTCAACTAAGAATTCTATACCTGGTAAAACTGCCCTTCAGAAATGTGGGATAAATTGAGATATTCTGTGACAAACAAAATCTGTGAGAGCTCATTCCTACTAACCCTGACCTAGAGGAACATCAAAGAGCATCCTTTAGGTTGAAGGAAAAGAAAGCTCCATAGTGACTCAAAGTTGTAAGGAGAAGGAAAGATTTTTGACTATAACGTAAAATTTGAAAATGTCATAATTGCCTGATGCCCTAACATCTCACAACATCCCATAAATGGGCTGTGAGCACTTTGCCTGCCCAGGTGCACCAGTGTGTTAAGGCTGGTTCCTATTATCAGTTCCTTTACTTGCCTTCCCTCATGACCCAGTGACATTCAAACACACCAGTGAGATCCCTCATGGCTTACACTTGTGTCCTTCACCTTGACTCACAGTACAGGACTTGCCCAGATTCCACCCTCTCTCATTCTTCACCTACTGAGTAGAGCCTATCTGGGAGCTTTTCCTATGCAGCTCCCTGGGTGGCATGTCATGCCTCCCTCCCTAATACCTCTGAGTAAACTAAATTCTTTAGTTTTTATGCCTGTATACATGTGATTTCTCTAGTTATGTTGGAATGATCTTCAAAAGACCCCATCAAAGGGACTCACTCTGCCATTTATAACACATTTGGCCACAAGGATGTGACTGTTTAAAATGCAGTGGTAACTTCCCTTTCACAGCTCATGGCTTAGTAATTTCTGCCCTGATTAGCAACCACCATTTGGAGGGATTTTTACCCTGCTGGCCTTTGTGTGCACTGCTTTGTGGTTCTGCCAAGACTCTCCATCCTGAAGCTGGGTATTTTATTTTATAAAAGGTTTGTTTAGCTTATGTTCCTGCTGGCTGGTAGGTTCTAGATTGTGTATCAGGTCAGGGCCTTAGGCTGCTTCTGCTCGGGTCAGAAGGTGCTTGGTGCCCATAGCTCAGTGGCGAGGGTGCCAGCCACATAAACCAAAGCTGGCGGGTTTGAACCCAGCCTGGGCCTGCCAAACAACAATAAATACTACAACAAAAAAATAGCTGGGTATTATGGTGGGTGCCTTTAGTCTCAGCTATTTGGGAGGCTGAGGCAAGAGAATTGTTTAAGTGAAAGAGTTTGAGGTCTCTGTGAGCTGTGATGCTTTGGCACTCTTCCATGGGCGACATAGTGAGACTCTGTCTCAAAAAAAAGAAGAAAGAAAAGAAAGAAGAAAGTGAGGGAAGCTGGCACTTGCAGAGATCCCACAGCAAGAGAGGGAGTGTAGGGGGGTGCTACACTCTTTTTAACAAACCAGCTCTTGCAGGAAGCACTAGAGTGAGAACAAACTAACCTCTGGTGGGGTGGGGGGGCATTAATCTATTCATTAGGAATCCATATTCGGAACAGATAACAGGTGTAGACTAATAGGCTGAAAGCCTGACGCAGGCTAAACAGTTTAACACTGTCACCATGGAGAGAGAGAAAACTTGAAGAGGCCAATGAACATCCATGAACATCTAGCACTTAATCCACAACAGCAGGAAACTTGAGGTTCAGGTCTTTTCCAGGCTTGGAGCATGGGGAGAAGCAACCCAAACTGTCCTCCTGTCCCACCTCGCCTCCTTATTAGCATGGTAAAAGTCACCCCCTCCAGCGCCATGACAGTTTACAGTTGCCATGACAACCCCTGAAGTGACTCTGTAAGGTTAGAAATACGGAGGACCCTAAGTTTTAAGAAATCCCTGCCTCTGTCTAAGACAAATGAAGAATCTTCTTCCCACTTCTTAGTGTATCATTAACTATAAACATAAAACAGAGATGAGTTAAAACCTCAGCACCTTCTCTCCGAGACAAACCTGTTCCTCTTCCCAAAACATAATCTCACTGTATTTTTGTTTTGCAAAGCTTCCTGTTATTCTGTAATAAAGCTGCTTGTGCAAAAGGGCTTTGTGTCCGTCATCACTCCGTCACTCTGTGTCACTGTCCCTGCTTATGATTCTTCCAAGCAAGAAAAAAAGAACCAGGAAAGCTCTTTCTTAAAATCAAACTTGTCATCCACTCCCATGACTAAAGCACCTCCCATTAGACTCCACCTCCAATGCTGGGGATCAAGTTTCGACTTGAGATTTAGAGGGGGCAAACATCCAAACCATAGCCAGGAATAATTATAGCTAAGGAGATAAAAAAAAAAATCTACACTGAAACTATAAAACATTAATGAAAGAAAGTGAAGAGGACTCTGATCAATGGTTGGCTATCTTGTTTTTATTATTTATCAAGATGCTGCATTGTTGAAATGTCCCAAATACTCAAAGAAAATTATAGATTCAATGCAATACCTAACAGAATACCCAGGACATCTTCACAGAAACAGAAAAGAAATCCTAGAATTTATATGTAACCACAAAAGACCCCCAAACACCAAAGAAATTTTGAGGAAAAAGAATCAAGTTGGTAGCATCCCATTACCTGACTTCAAAATATACTACAAAGCTATAGTAACTAAGTATGTATTTTTTTGTCAATTAAAAAGTAAAATGAATTTGTTTCTCTTAAAAATTATTTTAAATAAAAATGAAAAGGTGAAAAAGGTTGATTAAAAACTCTTTATGTGTACACCAACAGTCTCTCATACATGTGCATAAGCATATAATCACAAATGTATCTAATTGTGTGACTTACGCTGCTAGTATACAAGATTCTTCTGAGAATTAAATAAAATTGTAGGTCAGGTGTCAGGGCTCTCACTGGTAGACCTAGGAATTTGAGCGGCCCAGTTGGGTGGATTGCTTGAGGTCAGGAGTTAGAGACCAGACTGAGCAGGATTAAGACCCCTGTCTCTACTAAAAATAGAAAGAAATAAAACAACCAGGCATAATGGTGGGCACCTGTATTCCTGGCTAGTCAGGAGGCTGAGGCAAGAGGATGGTTCAAGTCTAAGAGTTTGAGGTTGCTATGAACTACGACAGCACAACACTCTATACAGGGCAATAGAGTGAGTCTCTATCTCAGTAAGAAAGAAAGGAAGGAAGGAAAAAAAAACTGTAATGCATGTAAAAAATTAGGAAAAAATTTGGCGTGTAAACCAAATTCACACATCTCCAGGGAAACACTGCACCTCTGCCCATGCTGAGTGGGCACCATTTCAGACCTCCCTTCTTCAGGGCAGTGAACAGAAAATTCTGGGCTAAGGGACAACCCTCACAGGGCTGCCTTTCAGCTCACTCTGTGGCCTTGGAGCTATTGCCTCATCTCAGGAGTCTCAGCAGGTTCTGGATTTGAATAATAATTCTTCGGTGAGCGTTTCATCAACTGAAATAGTATAAAAATGTAAGTATTGTGTGGTGGTGGTGATTTGAAGCATCCTCTGATTTGATGCCTCTAGTAGCCAGCTTTAGGGGACAGATCACACAGAAAGCATTCGGGCCCCATCTTTTATGCTTTCAGATAATGCTCTGGCCTTGGTTTTCCTTGGTAGACAAAATAGTATGTCGGTGGTTACCTAAAGATTCTGGAAATCTCCAGGTTTGAGGGACTGGGGATTCCTGTCCAAGGCAATACTCACCTGGGAGTCCCAGCAGTAGAGTCAGCAGCATCAAAGGATGAGGAGGGTGAGACCAGGGGGCAGGGAGGAGCATCCTGGAGGGCTCTGTTCAGATGTTTGTGCTGAAAGATCTCAGGCTATCTCATGCTCTGGACTGTGGAGGGAAGAGAAGCCCAGCCTCTCCTGGTGCAAGAGGAAGTGGCTGTGTTGGTGAGACCGTAACTGGCTTTTAGATTGTGAAATAGAACCAGTAACAGCAGGCAGGTGCGAGGCTGGGCGTGACTAATCTTACATTTTGAGAAATTCATACAGGCTTAGAAGAAATAATGCTTCTTCCCTGCTGGGGTCTGTGATCCCTCCACATGGCCTCTCATCACACTTCAAGTCCACATGGTGATTTTCCATTTGGAAGTCTTAGGCCAAGGAGGATCTGTGGTTGCAAGCTGCAACTCAAATTCCCATTCTCATATCCTTGGATATGTCTGGTTTGTGGCCTCTTTCTGCAACAGATTCAACCAAGAGTTACTCAGCTGGAGTTGGCTGGGTTAACCAGGCATTCTAAATGTTGGAGAAGAAGCAGGTCTGCTCCTGAATTGATTCCCTATTCCAACTTTTTATTGAAGGCATTTAGCACTTCTATATGCCTGCACCCAGCAAGAGGAATTATTTTCTGACTTCTTCCAGGAGAGGAAGTGGATTTAGGTTAATAAGGATCTGTGTTGTGGGGTGAGGTTATGGGTTATGGAAAGGAGCAGGGCTATGGGGAGTGGGGGCTGTTGTGGGCAGAAGTCTTGTGAAGTCACATCCATTTCAATACTTTGTTCTGAATTCAGACCACCTAGTCCATTCACTGCCTTCTGCAGATGGGAACTGGGGCAGAGGAAAAACAGATGTCCCAACTGAAAAGCTGTGCTATGGAGTTGGACAAGTCAACTCCTAGGCTCAGCTTTGTTCTCTAAACTGGGAATAACAAGTCATTCGCTGCAGAGCTTTGGTGGAGGTTAAAGGATATAATGACTGTAACGTGCCTATAACCCAAGAGGTCATTATTAACCCCTCGGTGCAAGGTGAAGAGATGAAACTCAATTTTGCTTTTGAGTGGATCCTTGGAGCGAGGTGCCAGGTGCACACCAGTGGCTTCCTCCCATCTTCTTGGACCTCCTAAGATGCAGCTTCCGTGGTATACTTGGACTACCCCTGCCACCATGAGCCCAAATGATCCCTCTAAGATTCTTCTTACAGCATTCTGCTCCTTGTTAATCCATAAATCCCTTCCTTCTCTTACCATTCCCAGCTGTATGTTTTTCAATAAGGCATTTGGTTTCTCTGAGCCTTTGTGAGATGCTATGTAAGAGGAGATTATAACATGGAAACTGTAGAGACAATGGTAGCAACAATATAAATGAAGCCATGATAAATACTTAGTTCATAATTAATTATACCCAAAAAATGGTGGTTATGAATATTGTTTGTGTACATGAACATTCACCGCTGTATTCCTGCCAACGTTATGCCTTAGAAATAAAACCATTTTCTGAGAAATGGTTTCTCCTCCAGCATCTATGACTATCACAGGACTGTCTGGAATCCTCTCTATCCCATGCTGAGTTTTAGCACCTTCATCTGTCATGAGTAACTTTCAAATGAAATTATACAATTTATCATATTTATATCCAAATCTCAGTTTAAATGTGGCGTATGTGTACATCATGAAATTGGTCTCCCTTTTCCACATCCACAGAAATGAAAATGAAAAATGTTAATGTTGTATTAATTAATGTCCACAAGAAATGAGTCTCAACACGGTATGAAGGAATCACTTATGGAAGATGTACTATGCTCCAGACACTGCATCAAACACTGTACATCAGTTACCTCATTGTGTCATTTCTCCAACCCCACGAGGTAATCTCTATCCTTGACCTCATTTTACAGGTGAGGAAACCTGAGGCAGTTTGAGAATAATGGGCTTGCTCATCAGGTTTTAAATTTAGGAGATAGGCTGCCACCTTACACAGCATTCACTTTTAACTGTTGCACTAGGACCTCTCTCATGGGAAGGGAGAGACATGTCTCCAGAAGAAAGCAGACAAGAATCCATAGCCTCAATTAAGATCAGTCACACAGCAATGCTAAGGCAGGGACCATTCTCCACATGGTCCTGACAACCCACGATCACTTGGGGCATTATTACTGAAAAGATGGCAGTGCAAGCAGAAATCACCAAAGATTTGGGGAACAGCAACACCATCAGAGATAGACAAAAAAAAATCAACAACAACAATAACTAAAAAACAAAAACAGTAATCAAAAAAACTTTACATCTGAGGAAACAAGGAATAAATATCATATGAAAGGTCTTTAAAATATTTAATATTTATATCTTCATAACTTTGTCTTTATAACAAAAGGGAAGTATGTCCATGAAACAATAACAGGCATTTCTGAAACAAGCATAGTCAAGCCGAAAAGGAGAACCCCTATCTAGGAAAAAATAACATCAGAAACTTAGGAAGTGAAAATATAATCAATGCTGAAATTTAGAGAAAAAGGAGTTAACAAGCTGACTATACGTAATCAAGGAATGAATTAATGAGCTGAGTGATCATGTGTGGACAATCTCCCAGAACACTGTACATTGAGACACAACCAAAACAAAGTGCATAAATGGCTATAAATATACACATAACAAAACATACACCACAAAACACTTCAAAAAGTTGTTTTAGCAATATTAGCACCTGAAAAATATAATTTAAGGTAGGAAGTGATATGAATGCAAGAGGAATGTTTTCTTTCATAAAATTAACAGTTAACCTAAAATATATGACCCATAAACTTTTATGTCTCCTATAAACGTGATTTGAAATATACGACTCAAATATATGATAGAATAGTGTTGAGAAAATGGCAGAATCTATTCTTAGAGCAGCAAGCTGTCTCGCTATGAACTCCAACCCTTCAATAAAGATCTACTAAACAGACATGTGCTTATGTGAGTGGATTTTTTTTTTTTTATGGAAATCGTGCAAGGGTTCAATTTCCAAATTTAGGTTGAGTTGGCGCAGTACAAATACAACCTGAATGTTTGAGAGAACCAAGAGCCTAGGGGGTCAGGAGTTAAAATTCTCTTTACTCTGCCATATTCCTTCCCCTACTACTGCTGACTGAAGGTGTAAATAACTAGGGGAGGCTTTGGGCCAAGTGAAGCATTGGGAGTAGCGGTAGATGTTTTAGAAGGGGAAGACTGAGTTTGTGGGTATAGGAACCAGAACTTCTAGATTTGAATGTAGCTCTAGCAGCTCCCAGCATGGAACCTGGGGGAGTCTATTTAACTTCTCTCATTCCTGAGTTCCCTCAACTGTAAAATGGAGACTATCTTAACAGTTTCATAGGTTTGTTACAAAATGAAACAACCAATTTAAGAGAGAGTGTGGCAGTTTCTTACAAAACTAAACACACTCTTTACCATATGATCCAACAATTGTGTTCCCTTCTATTAATATTTATCTGAATGATTTAAAATCTTACATCCCCATAAAAACCTGTATGTGCATATTTATAGCAGGGTTATTCATAATTTCCTAAACTTGGAGGAGATAAGTGTAGCATATCCACATAATGACATGTTATTCACCACTAAAAAGAAATAAGCCATCAAACCATGAAAAGACATAGAAGAAACTTAACATTCCTGTTATTGAATGAAGGACGCCAATTTAGATAGGCTGAATACTATATGGTGCCAACTACATGATATTCTGGGAAAGGTAAAACCATGGAGACTAAGTTGAATGAGTTGTAGTCAGGGGTTGGGGGAAAAGAGGGTGGAATATGTGGAACACAGAGATTTTTAGGACTGTCAAACTATTCTGTTCAATATACTACAATGGTGGATACATGTCATTATACATCTGTCAAAACCCACATAGTGTAGAAGACCAAGAGGATAAATGAGAATTTTCTGTACTTTTTGCTCAGTTTTACTGTAAGGCTCAAGCTACTCTAAAACATAAAGTTGATTATTCTTTTGTGGATGTTCCTTTAGTAGTGGTGTGTGCTTGTAGTCCCAGCTGCTTGAAAGACTAAGGCGGGAAGAGCACTTGAGCATAGCAGTTCAAGGCCAGCCTGGGCAACATAGAGAGACCCTGTCTCTGAAGAAAAAGTCACTCTAGTATCATAAAGTGGTAAAATATAAAACTGAATGAGATGCAAATCTATTGTGGGCCCTTGACTGTCTTGTAACACAACCAAGAGAACACCCTCTTCTCCATTGCCAGTAGAGGAAGTGGGTTTATGTAAATAAGCTTGTGCATTTAGAAGTTGTCATTTGGAAAGGGAGGGGGAATGATGGGAGGAGAAAATGATGGTCAGACCTCCTTGGGAGGGGCAGTCACACAGATTTCAATACCTGTAACAATGGAGGGCACCATTCCCACCTCCTCCAGATACAGACAGGGAAGTGGGGAGATGCAGAGGGAAATGCCCAGAACAGGAGGGAGGGGCTGTGAGTTGGGTAAGTCAGTTGGCCTTCCTGGGCTCAGCATCATCACCTATAAAATATAAGTAAAAATGCTTACATTGCACTCTTCTGGAGACTCGATAAGGCGAAGTACTTGGCATGTAATGGTGCTGAATAAATAGTACTTATTTTCATACCTGGTGCTTGGGAGAAAACAGAAAGTCGCTCAGTGTGTGTTGATTGAATCCTACTGCATGTTGCCTGTCACTGACCTCTGGCTATTCCAGGTGACATGGAGCTACTGGCATTTTACCTCTGCTGGCACTGCTGAACTTCCCTTGCCTTTCCAGGGCCATTCTCTCTGACTTACTAATCCATAGAGCTGCTTGGATTCCCAGAGACTGTCTCAGTTTAGGCCAGTTTTCCTTGTGTTTTGTCTGTTTTAGCATTTGTCCTTGGGTTGCCATTGTTTTCAGAAGGCATCATCATTAACAGTTGAATTAAAATAAGCTGGGGTGGGGGTGGTAAACCTCCACGTTGTTCTTAAAGCTTCTGCCCTCTTCTCATCTTGTAGGTTGGGAGATGTACCCACAGTGAACAGAGCTCTGATTTACAATTTGGTCACAGTGTAA